TACGATAAGAACGTCGTTATAACTCATATTTCACATACTACTTCTAATCAGTTTTCGATCAGACGTATTAAAAAACCCTCAAATAAAAAAGGTTTTTTCCTGAGAAATGAGAGCATAGATACTTTTTTATGTGTTGAATTCATTTATCACTCACCTATAAAAGGCGTATAGGGAGAATATAAAATTCGCTGATCGATAATGTCTGGAGTTACGAAGGTTAGAAAAAACAAATTATTAGATTACCATATAGGTACAATACCGAGTGATCGAATGGTTTTTTTTTGAGAAGTTGGTAATAAATGTCAAAATTGTATTGGTAAGGTTTGAGGTTCAGTCAGCCAGTGACGTTCCTAATTCTAGAAGTGCGAGGGGTTGTATAAGGTGTGTTTGAAAGTCCATAAATGCGATCAGATACACATGAAGTGCTAGATGATTATTTAAGAGATGTAGGCAACTGATGTGAATAATTTATAAGGGTAATAAATAAATCCCCCGTGGCAGGTAAATAACCAAAATGGGGGTCACCGTTGTTTTTGCCTTGGCGCGTAACATATATTCCCGAATCTTTATATACATTCTCATTAAGGGTTTATGTATGCCTCGACACTTTGTATAAAACTGGGGAAGTTAAAAGGATAGGGTAAGTCCACGCCGTAGTGGGTGGAATCAAATTATGTAAATTTCACTCTAAATATTGTCTGCGTTCTAACAAAAATGCGGAATTTTTTTAAAATCTTGCCCTAACGAGCTGACATTTTATTCAGTTAATTAATTTGACAATGGAATTAAGTGGGGCGAACGCCGGGAGTTTTTCGCCAGTTTAACTTTTTTTCTCTCTTCATCGGTACACTGTAAAATAAAGAATGATAATATAAAATCCCATAATAAGCCGAGTCTGTAATAGTTTATTATTTTAATAACAGTTTGATATGTTTAATGCTTTTGCATGGCTATTCAAAGACATAATATGATGTACAATAAAAATGCAATATGACGTTATGAAAGGCGTGAACGGCTTTTCGAATCAAGGTCAACCGATCCATGTTATAAGAATTTTTTACATAAATAAGGATGTTTAACGTGCATATCGTATCAATTAAGATAATAAATAATAATTAGGTAAATTAGAGGAAGAAACAAGTGTTCAGTGCCTATCGGTGTTTTAGCATAATAAAATAATTCATATTCATATTGATAGAACATAATACATACTTAATGCTTACTAATCGTGTCACATAAAATTATGCTCAAGGAGTAATTTATCAGAAAAAATAACAAAAAAACTCGTTGAAACAGTGGAAATAAGTCAACAAAGAATATTAAATCTGTCACTTGACTAGTTCAAATTAAACGTTTCCCGGCTCACATTCATTGTGTCAAGCGCTTTCCTGTATAGATTTCCCTTAGAGAAAGTCGTTTCCTTTGTGTCTAATTATTACGTCGAACATTTATCAAATATTTGAATTAAGCCTCGCGAAATACACATACAATGGAGTGAAAACAAATAGCTCAAGTTTTTAGAGACGGATAAATATTAATGGGAAATGTGGGAGTGAATAATAGGAATCGAGACGATATAATTTAATCAAGCTAATCAGCTTTACGTGGAAGTATAAGTTCGCCAATTTTGTTCATCTTCAACATCCCCCAGCGCAACGCCATTTCTTGAAATTACTGTTTACGTATTCTACATTTTATTTTATAAATGACTTCACTGTTAGTCCTTTCATTAAATGTTAATTTAACAAAACTTCATATAAATACCTAAATTTAATTGGATTTTAATAATCACCGACTTTTCGAAAAATCTCATTAATGTTACGCTTGCGATTTACCCTGAAAAAGTAAATCTTCAAACATGTGCCTAATTGCTCACGCTATAATTGAATATAAATGATGGATAAACCGAAATTGAACTCTTTGAAAAGTTAAATTTAGCGTATTATGTACGAATTAGTATAGGATATTTTGATATTTCTGGTTTTGAAAAGAGCGAAACGGGCCGTTAGAATCGTTCGAATTATCAAAGAACACGTGCAAGTTCTGACGCGGTTGATTTTGTGCCCTAAGCAGCTTAGGATTCATTATTAATTCTAACCAACGATTCTGTAATAGGAATTCGAAATTAGATCTCGAATTCAATAAATTTCTCGTACAACACCGGTAAGTAATAATCGAATGCATTGCCGTTGCGAATAATTACAATTTTAATAATAAATAGATAAATAATATTAATTATTTTATGTTCGTGCCCGTTTCGGTTTCACTCAAGAATATACGTCGAGTAAAACGCTATTATTTATAGTTTTATAGATGCATCGAAGGTCGTTTCTTAGCATGAATAGTTAGGAAATTCATAAGTTATTGCGCTTTAACATTTTAAATAACGACATTAAAGATACATACATCATTTGGTTAATTTTTTTTAGACATAAGTATAGTAAAAGCCCGGAAAACCGATGATTCTTACGCAAAAGGCGAGAACATAATTTGATAAATCAAACGGCGTGGAATTGTAAATGAAAAGGATGCTTAAAAATAAAAAGATTTGATGAAAAGCATAAAAAATATCGAAGCCGTCTGATTTTTAAGCTTATTTCACGTCAACGCTTCTATAAAGTCGAAAGTTACGACAATAGAATCAGCCCAGTGGCAGAGCCTTTTCTAAAATAGTCACGTCCAAATTAGCATAATTACGTATTTTCCCTATCTGCTCTTTTCAACCTTTTACTCATCGTTCAACGTGTTCCCATTTCCTACTGAACTAACTAAGCATTGTTGATTGTTTATCACTAGATCTTTAAAAAGAGTCTATTTCATTCTCAAAAATGTTAACACACGCACAATTCAAAGTCGAGCAGACTAAACCCCTATACATTCAATCCATTCAGGCGTGAATTTTTAAATGATTTCCAACGTTACGCCACTGGAAATGACGAAGACAAGGAAAGCATTCGGAGACCGTCATTTTGGGCCGGTCATAAAACATTTCTGTCAAGAGTAAAATCCAATATTTTTAAGAAGCATTAAAGAATAATTCAGCGAGGGTAACTCCTCTTAAAATTCCCGTGCGTTTCACTCGCTGCTTATCAGTGATTGAAAGCCCATCGTTCAACTGAAATGTCGCTTAACTAATAAATTATTACATTTTTCGAAGCTCCATACAGGATTTACGGGATTTTACGGCTAGTTGTTGCGAGTGAAAAATTCTATGTACGTATAGTTTTCAGTTTTTTACGACTGATGCCGGTTCGGAAAGTTTCCTGTAACAAGCAAAATGTGTGTAGATGTGTGTTAAAAGCAAAAATGTGTGGATGCAACTTAATTAGGGAGCGTTATAACACCTGGTGACCATGTTTTATTTTGGAAAAGGAATATTTTTTTTTATTTTAGTGCAAACAGAAGAAATCTTTTTGGTAGTATTGGAATTTCGATGGCCTCGCAATTCCATTATCGATGAAGTTATGAAAAAAAAATTTATCGACCTCTTGCGATTGATTTACGCCGAAAGGTTTTTTATTTTAAGGGGGCATTTAACATCCTTTATGATCGCACTATGTTTTTGACTGTTATTCTTCTTCCATATCTGCGCGACCATAAAGCTCGATGCAAAATGGTTTTACCTTTACGGCTCACGGTGTTGTTTCGAAAACTATTAACGGTTTAACCACATCTATAACAATAAACAATACATTTTTGATTACTAATAGCGAGTCTTATTTTTTTAATGATGCCTTCGAGCAGTGGCGTAACTTTGTATCGTCGAATGTTGGCTTTTAATCGAACGATTAAATTACTCATGACGTTTAATTACTGTACATTCCGATTTTTTTTAATTCTTTTTAACGGATTAAATCCGTAATACTGAATGTTAATTTATTCGTAAAATGACAAAAGTGAGTTGGGTGAACGGGAATCCCGTCAATTTGTACCGTTGAATATTTCAGAAATTAGTAATCTTTTGCAGTTTTCGAGGCATTCTCGCGAAAATTATATTATCCAATAGAACATAATGGAGACTGGAGCCCATTCGAACGTTTTATGAGGACCCTAAACTTTCTTTTTAAGAATAAACTGTCTGTGGCGAGATAACTGTAACGAAATTGAGGTATTGTTTTTATTATACTCTTTTTCAACGTCGACTTTTAGTACATTTGCGGATGCCATAAAGGAGAACTTTTCTAAATGAGCCAACACTTAAATTGAACCTTCGGACAATACTACAGGGATATTCTGCATTCATTCGACGTTTTAATTACTTATTTTCGGTAGAAATTCAACAATAGCAGACAACGTTGCAGGCGCGAATTTAGAACTGGAAAGGAATCAGATATAAAAGATAGGAGAAAATGAACAGGCGAAAAACTTTATTTTCTTCCAAAGCGTAAACTTATATATCCTATCAAATAATAAGGGTAATCTTGTGTAAATAGGCATTTCCCGAAAAGTTTCCATTTTATCCCCCACAGGGGATTTTTAATTAAATTCGTATACAGAGATGTATTGCGTAACAACTCGAAATTCTTAGCAGACGATTAGAGAATTGCAGTGTTTTGGAATAGATTTAAATTTCAAATACTCGAATAGTAGCTGATGTAGCATCTGTATAGGTATAGGCATTTTACCTTTCGAATTCTACAAATGCTTACGGTAAAAGCGCCGACCGACAATCAAAAGAACTTACATAATCGTTAGGTAAAAATTTTATTCATCAATTCGCACAAGCGTCGTTTTTTTTCCCATCGTCGAAGCGGGGCTTTCGAAGAATTTCACTTCACCCACTGCGTGACCCTGTAGCGATGGTACCGGTCCGGTCGAATGTGGAATAATGCTAAGATCGTGGACCGCCCTGTACGGGCAAGATACGCGCAGGTAGATCGCCGATGGACTTCGTATTGCATTCCCTCCACTTGGGGGCGCCGCCTTCTGCGTTCGGTCCTCTTCAGCTGCATACCATACCATTTCGAAGTACCACGATTGCTCGACGAGCAATCGAACGAATCGATTCGTCGGTTTGTGCGACGGAACCCGTTGAATAACCGAATCGATTGCGGTGGGAAGAATCGATTCGACCTCGCCGCGATTCCATCGCCTCGCCGATGTTACGTCCTCGACGGAACCGTTCTTCGTTCTTCGTTCTTCGTTCTTCGACTACGTTTCGGTCCGGTCGTGAGTGCGGCGCGCCGTTCGCGTACAGAGCTTGATTCATTTGGATTCATTTGCGATTTCGGTGGCGAAAACCGTCTTCTCGTGTCGTTGTTTCGCGATGTTCTGTTGGTGATTTCGATGCCTATGATGGATAACCGTTATGCGGAGAAAAGTAAGTCGATTCCGTTGCGAGAGCACCAGGTGCGATGTGGAGGATCGACGTCCACTCAGATATACCTCGGTTTACTTTGTTACATCGTATTAGATGATTAACTGTATATTTTACCTAAATTTTACACAATTGATTCGAATTGATCGAGTGAAATGCGTTGATACACGTTAATTTTTTTTATTGTTATCTTTGTTCGTTTCTTGCTGATGCGTATCTTTCCACTTTTTTTTTGTTACAATTTTGTACGGTTTCGCGTCTGTGTAATCATACGAGTCTCCGAGCGTTTAACCTATTTTTGATGATTGATGGTGATGTGCAATTGCAAAAAAATGTAAACATGAACATTATGCGATATTTATGATCAATAATTTCACGTTTTCGAGTTGCGTTTAATATTTAAGTTCATTAGCGTTTGGGTTTTATGTCGATAATTAAGCGAGTATAGGCTTAAATTAGCGGAGTTTTTATTTTGTTCGCGGATTTTTTAAGTAATTAACTAATCGGGAATTTTCTACTGCTGATCGCAGAAGGAACGGAATTAATTCCACTATATGCATGCGAAAATAGTCGTCTTGAAGTTGGCTGGTTTAAATTGAGTCTGAAAATAATCCTGCAATTATTTAAAAAAACACGAAGGTAAAAAAGAAAGGTTGAGAGTAATTTGTTGTGGTTATATTATAAATAATACGGTGCTATTAAAAGTGATTTAAAACTCATCAAAATATAACAACTTTATTACTTTAATGTAGGTATATAGAGGCATTCTTCGTGTAATTTAATCATTTCAAACTCGCAGAAACCATTTCAATATTGGAACATACATTTTGGTTATTGGAAAATATTTTATTTCTATTGCACATCCTAACAAACTTATAAAAATGCATTAAAAATATTAATCATCGGTAAAGCTGCTGCAAATTGTAGGTAATAAAATGAAAAGGTTTTAAATAATTGGTTAAAATTCACCAACGAAACGAATAAATAAATTATTAAACTTCATGATGTTGTGTCAAATATTTCAGATGGAAAAGGTCGTTTCCGGCAATTTATGATTGATTTAACTTCTGTTTAACTGTGTCATACAACGGCTGAATCAAAGGCCTTTTAAATAATAAATATAGAAGTTATTGAGTACAACTACAATTATACGGTGTCATTGTGTAGTTGTTTAACAATTCACCGCAATATTTGACTTCTGTCTTCGTTTTCTTTGGCTACTATAACAAAGTGAATTGAAGTTGTATAATTTTCTAATCAATCACCTGAATAAATTTTTTAAAATCATTTCGTAGTATTTTATCGATTTGCGCGAGTTATTTTGTGCTTAAACCAACTGGAAAATGCATCATTATAGCCTGATTGGTTTAATTACGCTCGTGCATTTTTAAATAACCAGTGAATTTTAGTTAGTGTATATTAATGATTGCATAGTTTTCTTTTTGGGGTGCGGTATTTTGTAGAAGTAGTTAATAGTGCGGTGTGATCCGGCGAAGAAAATGACCTGTTAAGGCTCAATTTGTCTACAATGTGTAGTTATTTTGACAGCCTCGCGCTATAACCCATAGTTTTGTCTGTATTTAAGCCGGAGCGGGGCAATTAATAAAAATTACAGCAAAAAATCCGGTTTTTTGGACCACCCGGTTCCTTTGATACTCTCTTGCTCATTATAAAACAGCCTGGCTCACCTACAGGTGTTTCCAATTTCCAAGACAAAGGTGGCCAAATTATTAAAAAAGAGTCGTAGTCTTTTTCCTAAAAAAGAACTGCTCCGGTGAAATTATACCTCAACGTCGTCAATTTCGAAATTTCTCGTAATTACCGAAAACACGTTTTTTAACCCGATTTACAGAATTCTAATTTAATTTTAAAGCGTTTAATCAGAGCGTCTAATAAACGTTGCGAATAATGCCTATATGGTCATCCTGATGTTATTACATCCCAACGTGAAATTACTAGGTAGAGTTTTAATTTATATTAAAATGATTATAAATAAAATGAATTGAATTTAAAAAAAGAGGGTTTTAAATTGAACCTATAAAATTGATAATTAGAAATTACATTTTTCTTCGTGTATTCAATTTTTGTATAATATAAACTGTGGCTAGTAATTGTTTTTGTTTTGCTACTAATGTAACATTACCTTGCTATAATTACTGGTTGGGATATAATGAGATGATTAATATTTAAAAGCCACTTTGGTATAATTCGATTCTAACTTATTTGGTGGAAACTAAACGATGTAATTTTAACGCCAACTTAAAAATTAAGGTTCTAAAATTGCTCCCAGTCGTGAAAGATCGTTAATTTTGTACGTGTTTGTTTACTACATTGAATTATTAATAAAAAATTAAATAATTCAGTTGAGTTTTCTCAATGTAGACCAATATCGTAAATTTATGAACCCCTTGAATACCTAAATTTGTTTCAGCAATGAGTTTTTTAAGAGCTTCCATTATAGAAGGTCTCAAGTTTGATTCCATTACGAATCGTAAAATTCTAGATTAATACGTCGGCTTTAAACATAAATTCCTACTTAAAAATATGCTTCCTGACGATTGCCGATTTTTCATTAGAATCAAACCCTTTATGCTCGATTCATAAAATCTCAATAAGTATTTTCAATTAGAATTTTCTAATAAAAATTCAGTCGACTTGGCTTCGTCGATTATTAATTAACGGTATTAATTCAATTTTAACCGATACTAAAAATATATTCTTTAATAATCTGTGCATCACATTCGATCATTTTCTTTGATGATATTTACTGGGAGAAATTAGATAATACATCTATGGAAGGTCGTTTCTGTGTAGTTACATTTTTATCTCTTCCTTTCTGTAATAAATGAATGGTGCTTTGATTTTTCGCATTGAGCTTTTAACTTACATTGTTTCAATATACCTATACAATTCGTCCATAAAACGAACTATAAATCCGCATTGTTCGTTAGGCTTTTCATTTTTATTGTTAATCTTGTTATTTAATTTTCTGCAATATACACATTTTAATTTACTGTTTATTTTGTTAGGGACGTATGTGTGTTTGAATGCAGATTTCTTCAAATTGAACATAAAATACCACCAAATAATCGATTATAAAAAATCGTAACCTCAAAACGCTATTTTTCGCCTGAATTCTCTTTTACAAAAATAAAAACATAAGCTATTTTCATAAATTCATACATTCAAATGTGATTAAGTGGGTAAGGGCTTACCAATTTCCTATATACGGGGTATAGAGCGCAATTTTTCAAATTTTTTGTCAAGTTTGTTCGAGAAAACGATCCAGTTTCTATCCATTGGATACGGGTAGATTGTGGGTAGAATAAGAGCGGGGAAAACTAGCCCGTCGAGGTACCGTGTTTTGATTAATGTTTGCCCGACATGCGATTAGATTTGTGTAAATTGGCAACATTGTAGGAATATAGTGTACACATGCGGTCTGCGATTTTGGCAATCGATATTCTGATGAACTGCTTTAGATTTCGTTTTCGGTGGGAAAACAACAACATGTCCATGTCGTGATGTAGTCGAAGAACGCCGCATTAGAAACGCAACTTCTGCTCTTCGACGGGCTTTTTTCCAACCTTTGCATTTAGGTCAGGTAAATTGGACAGACTGAATGCAATTAGTATGGAAGTAGATGGTACTTCGACTGGGCTTTTTGAGGCACAAAAATCGAGTGTCTAATTACATGGAATGCGATAATCTGATATTAGGAAAGTGCTCAGACCGAACATTAACAGTATTATAATAGCTTCGGCTTTCTAAAAAGCATCTGGATATTGACTGGTGTCTTAAAATCATTATTCGGTAATGGCCTAATTGCGTTTGTAATTTCAATTTCTTACCGACATTGATACTTTACTTAAATCCTGTTAGTCGCTTGTAAGCAGTGCTATTAGTTGGTGTAAGTAAATAACACATTTTTATTAGTAATATTATTATTTGTGGATGAACTTGAAATCATATATGCACTCATCAATGACATTTTTTACATCATAATTGCAGTTTATAATCGTTAATATCTTCAATCATACTTATGTGTGTATTTTTTGTGGTAGAATCTTGTGGTGAGAACAATTTCAAGGTGGGTAATTTAAAATAGCAAAAAAGGTTATGATGCCTAAATAAGAAGAGTAAATTTATTAAACTTGGAAACACTAAAAAATATTCTCGAAACTGAAGCAGTATTTTAATTAATCTCCTTGTAGGTAAGTATAGGAATTAAAAAATTACTTATCTTCTTATTAACAATGGAAGGTTATTTTGGAAACGGTGTGTTGTATTTTTAATTATTTATATTTAGTACAGGCATTCCGGCATAATGTATTACCATATCTAATTATAGCTTATTCGTATAATAGCCGTATAGAATAGATATTGTACATTTGTTTCCAGTCCGAAATAAAAATTAAATTTGTGAGTATGTGCATGCGGTCGTTTTTCAACGTAAAATTATACAAATGGCTTTTTGTACGGATAGAATATATGATAAAATCTATTCGAAACATAACGGGTGAGTATAATGAACTGGGGTTCAACTGTTAAGCTACGCCTAAACATTCTGTAAATAAAATCTAATACCGTGTTAGAATCGTATTTAATTTTAGGGGTGTATAAATACAACAAAAGTGGGTGTAAATCGATTCCATCCCGCGTTAGATATATTGATCAAACAGGCCCTTTTTTAATAGACTTAATTGATTGACAATTAAACTACATGGTTTTAGATAACTACTTCGAAAGTAGGTACTAATTTTCCCACTGGGATTAATTATTTAATACTTGACGATACTATTTCGTACTTACGAGAGCCATCACTCATAGCAAGTTTCGTTCCAACTTTGTTCAATTACCGCTGTTTTCATCGAGTTAAATTTTATATACTAGTGCTTTTCAATTTAACTCACTTTCTTAGACATGCATTTTTATAATAACCAACATAAATGCTTAAATGCTAAATTTGGCATAATTTTTAACCTAATATTTTTTTTTGTTTC